CCGCTGAATCCTTGGTGGTCTTTTGATTCCCTACTACTGTTTTTTTTTGGTTGTTTTTTTAAAATGAAATGCTACCCTGAATGTGTGGGCCTATCCTTACTCTTGCACTTTGGTGGTCTCGTTTTGGCCCTGTTGGGTCCTGTGGGGATTTGCTATTGGTTATGACATGAGCAAAATGCAGGAAGGAGGTGATATTTGCCTCTTTTTCAGGAGGTGAATTTCCAGCCCAACCTCACATTTCTGCATATGCCTCTCCTGTCAGTGTCATGCCATCATGTTGCCCAAAAACTTTCCGTAAGATGTGAAGTTGACACATAATCCATCCTTATCTCTTACATGATGAAGTGATAGGATAGTAGGACTATTGAGAGAATGGAGTACAGTGGTAGAAAAGTGTTACGTGGAAATGCAGTGGACTTGAATAAAGTAGCATCTGTAGATCAGACTTTCTCAGCCTCATGTTCTTCAAACGTGTCACAGCAATTTCTTTATAACCAACAAGAATGGACAAAGAAGACTGATCATTTTTTCCCTCCAAGTACCAACTTATTCTAAAGTGTCACTGCTACTTTGTTTTTGCTTTATATTGAAAAAAGAATAATCTACAAGAGGAAAATGATCAACAAGCCATTTGGAGAACTCAAGATTTGACATGACAGAAAGAGTTAACAGTGTCTTTAAAACCTCAGCTTACATTATTAATGTTCTCTTATCTAAATAGTGGTGCACATTAAATGTTGGGTTCCCTTTTGAATGTGGCTTTTAAGACAATTTAAAAAGCCAGGAGACATTGGATAGGCTAACTATTTGAGTCAAGAAGAACAAGTTAAATAATACTTTAAACATTTTAATATATGTTAATACGTGCTCAAGTGCAATTTAAAGCTTCTTTGCAGCTTGAATTCTGCTCTTCTGTTTCTAGGCCTATTCACCTATAAGTGCAGTTGATCCTTCTTTATAACAGGGTTACATGATGACCGTGTTGCAATATCTCAGGGGCTGCCACAAAGAAGAGGCAGTCAAACTATTCTCCAAAGCACCTGAGGGCAGGACAAGAAGCAATGGATGGAAACTAATCAAAGAGAGAAGCAACCCAGAACTAAGGGGAAATTTTCTGGATATTAGAACAATTAATCAGTGGAACAACTTGCCTCACAGAAGTTGTGGATGCTCCAACATTGGAAATTTTTAAGAAGGGATTGGACGACCATTAGTCGGAAATGTTATAGGGTTTCCTGAACAGCGGGGCAGCAAGTTTCCAGAGCAGGGGGTTTCCTGAATAGAGAGTTGGATTAGAAGACTTCCAAGGTCTTTCCAACTCTGTTATTCTGAAGAAGTTTTAAGCCCTTGAGATCTTGGTTTTGGCTGTATTATATACCTTCTGATAGGTGACTGCCTGGGACTTGATTTATTTGTTTACTTAGAATACTTAGAAGTGACCTCCTTTGCAAGGACTATATGAAAACTATGTTAAGCAGTGCCTAATGATCGTTTCTGAAATAAATTATCTAACAATATGGATTAACCATTTAGTGAGTGACTACCTTGCTCTATGGATAAGTTAAAAGGGATTAAACAGTTGCCTTCCTGCTTAAAGAGGAGTTTTCTATCAAGCCACATCCATCTCGTTTTCCTGGCTGAATTATGTAGTTCCTGCACATGGCCATAGTAATTAAATAATAACATATATGGTCTATGCAGGGTGTTTTCATACACTTCTTTGATCACTGCAATCACCGAACACAATAAAGAGATATTCAGAACTCTGGGTGGACAATGTTTTTGAGTTAGTAAATTTCTGAGACTGTCTGTGTTCTTTCTCACAAAATGGCTGCTTCAGCAGGGGGTGGTTTCCCTCTTCACAGAATAGTTGCCATGCTAAATATTGACATGAAGCCCTCACTTCCTAAAAGGTGTTCTGCCTCCTGTCTTCCCTCAATTGACTAAGCTCCCTCTCCCTCCCTCTGTCCCATGCCCTTATCCATTTACCTTGGCTTCGCCCACCCCACCCTAGACAACTAAGCATACATTGGAACAAAACATGGGAGTGTCCAAGCTTGTGCTGAGCTCTAAACCATTTCTAGATGTCTGTAAATATTGGGAACTTAGTAGGTATTAATGAAGGTGTTCTTAAACATATCTCCAGTATTCATGAATTATGATTTAATCCAATCATACTGGAAGCATGTTCAAAACGACGCTAGCAGTCTAGTGGAGTAAGATGTCCAAAGATCCAATGAAGGATGCCTAAAAGATGGGCATCCTTTGGTTCAGGATGCATTCAGTTACTGTAGCTTTCTACTCATTTCAAGAATTAGTCCTCTTATTCATTTTAGTAAAAAAACAACAACCCACCACATTAGATATATGAGAAGGGAAAGAAGCAACTACAGTAGAGTGGAAACAAAGAGTTTGCATAATGTCCTGTTTCCTTCCCTTTGAAACAAGTTGACTGGCACAGTCTGAGTTGCCATTAATAATTTGGATGGCCAAAGAAGGAGATGTTCAAAGGAGATCTGAACAATGTACATCTATTAGATACCTGCCCAGCTTCGAATGCTACTTCTGAAAAATAATGAATCTTAAGTCAGCAACCAACGTTACCTGTTGGTGGAATAATATAACCCTATGGGTCTTTTCCTTTCCTCATTCCCATACCACATTTTTTTCACAGAATGTTCCTTAACTCTCAACTAAATGTGTGAAGAGAGGAAATGTAACATATTCCTATACCGCTGATGAAATTCTATCAATAGGATCTTTAAACACGTACCTTTTAGAAAATGGTCCATTGAACATACAACATAGAATCACAGGGTTGGAAGGGAGACCTCAGAGATCTTCTAGTCCAAACCCTGCTCAAGACAGGAGCCTTCTACAATCCCGCCCGGTCAAATGGTTGTCCACTCTATTTTTGAAAACCTCCAATGGTGGAACCTGCAACCCCAGGAGGCAAACTATTCCAATGAGTTATTTCTCTCATTGTCAGAACATTTCTCCTTACTTCTAGGTTGGATTACTCTGTAACAAGCTCCTACCACCCATTATTTCTTGTCCTGTCCCTCTGGTGCTTTGGAGAATAAGTCAATCTCCAAACTGAACTTGGATTCCATAAACATGGTATCTTTTGGCTTTTAAAATACTATGCATTACCAGCGTCCACAATGTCAAATGGATATTTGTACTTTAAATGAATAAAATACCAGCCTATCTGTCAAATTGTGATGGTTGTCGATTTCAAATGTTACTATTGATAAAGCCATTTGGAAGAGCACAAATGAGAAATAAATAAATTCTTATTTAACTCATGGCCCCTTTAGTCCCCCCCCCCACTCTTCTTTACAGCATACAGATCTATAATTCCATATAAAAATACATGAGCTTCTTAAAAAGCAAAGGGTTGCAATAAACTGTTCTAAAGATACTTTTTTCAGGAGGTAACTGGACTTTCGGATCCATCCAGTCAGATCTGAAGGAAGCTTCTTGGATGAGAAGTAAAACATCTTAAAAGAAAAACCAGAAAGTCCAGTTGCCTCTTGCAAAAGCACCTTTGGGACAATCTCCATAGAGGTTGCAATAAACTATTTAGTTTTTAACAGTGTTTCATTCAGAATTTTGGCTGTGAATTTTCTTATCTTCCAATCCGTAATTATACATATTGTTTATTAGCATTAGATTACATCACAGTCATGTTAACTCCTTCCTTAGCTATGCAGCATTTCTACTGATTTTTAAACACTATTCCTGCAAATAAAGTGCCACCGTTGATTTTCAATTTGTAAACAACATTAAAAGCAAGTACTTCAATTGTTAAAAGGGAAGTAATGACAGCATTTAGCAATTTCCCCATTTAAACGTATATGAGTTTTCAAACATCTCTTCATCACTAAATTGACATTATTACCAATACCTTTTGACACCTTAGTTTATAGATGGCAAGGAGTAGATCTTGCATTTGGCAAGGTTGTTACAATGAAGAAAATTATATACTACTAACATTCTGGAGAATATTTTAAACTGGGGACAGAGCAACCTAATCTGGAATGGTAGCCTACCCAACTGTGAAAGGTATGTGATCTCCATGCTTTGAAAAACAATAGGAGAGAGAGGGAGGGAGGGAGAGAGATGTTTGTATCAACATATTTTTAAATTTCCTCTTCCACAGGATGGAATAGTGGTAAAAGAGTCCCTTGCTGCACTCCATGGACCAACTCCTTTTAAACTCCTTTCAAAAACTTGTCTAAGATTTCCAAGAGTTTTGACGCCAGATCAGCTGGTCTTGGATGTTATTTACAATGATAGTAGGAATGATCCAACCTCAGGTTTCCTTATTCTGAAGTTAATCTTTCTCCCAACGTACTGGGGGAAAATTAGACCTCTCTTTGGGTCTCTGGCACTGTTCCAGTGGTTGTTGGTTTGTCCATACTGTTTATAGTTAATCAAAGGAGATCCAGTTGATTTCAATAGGGCCTACTTTTGCTAAGTGGGCGTAAGGTTTTTTAAATGAGGAAATAGGGACCCAAGTAATGAAATGTTCAAGTACTGAAATGTTTCTATATATAAAATAGTAACTTTTAAAACAAATTACTTTTAGCTATGGTCCATTTATGACTTCAACTGCTCCTCATATCTGAATTTAGAGGAAAACTGTTGGGTCATTGGAAGGGGTGATGCATGGATAAAAATCTACACACGATGCATTCCTAATCCTGTCATAGCAAGAACTTTATACTGACAGCTAGACTTTGATGATAAAGTGGCATCTAATTTGGAATAGAGGCCTTTCATGGCACCATTTCAGTTTGCATTTTTAAAATTAATTTCAGTGAGGATGAATTTTCCTCATAACCAATGACCCACCATTGCCTTAGAGAAGGGTTCCTCTCTGACTTTTTAATGGGAATGAATTTTTATGTTATGCTTGTTACAGTCATCTTCTTATGCATACACTTGATAGACTGGACAAGACAAATGCCTCTTGTTTGGACTGATGTGAACAATACCATTATGTTAGGACCTGCAGTTTGTAAACCAGAAGTTATAGCTGGAGAGACCAGCTAACCAAAATATTATTAAGATTTCTTTCCTCATAGAAGTGAACACCCCATTGTCTGTTTGCTCTCTATTCATATAACAAGAACCAAAGTATTTACACCTCAAAAAGTCCTAACATCTGAGATGCTTCTTGCTGGACATATCATTCCAAATCCTGTGCATTTCCTCAGGGGATATCTGATGTACCGTAATAACACGCCGATATCTGCACAGGCTGTAGGCCATCTTCCAGTGATTGAAGCCACTGTTTTGGAAAGGATGGATGCCAAGCTTCCGCAGACAGAGTCCCACATACACGTCCTCAAGATGAAGGAGTCTAGTATGGAGGGAAGTCTTGTAAATCATTTCTGCTACGTCGGCAGAAAAAATATAGCCTGTGCCTGAGCAAAATGGCGGATAGTTGCTGTCAGGATACAAGTCCCTTGGCATGTACCATTTGCTCCGGACATCCCTGATGGGTCCTCCATTGATGACATAGCCAGTAAAGTACCTTCGTCTTGGTTTGGTGTTCGGTTTGAGCAACTTGTAAATGAGGTTGTCCATATTTACAAAGATGTCGCTGTCTGTTTTCATGATATACTTGGCTTTTGAACAAAATGTGGCCACCCACTTCATTCCCATTAATGTTTTCAGGGTCAGGTTATGATACGAGTCAATGAAGTCTTCCACAATGATGTCGTGAAAAATTTGACTTTCTTGCTCAACCATCTGGTTTAACACAGAGTCTGTGTTTTTCCCCAGAAGAAAAAGTGTGGAAATCTTAATGCCTTTGAAGTTGTTCTCATCACCCCAGGTCTCCCGGATAGCTTGTCGAGCATCAAACTCTTTGTGTGTGGTGCTGATTAGAATAACCAGAAAGGGAGCGTTCTTCTCACACTTCTCTGGCTCATTGATGAGAAAATCAAATGAATGAGGGTTTATGGGTCGAGTCCTTATGTTCCCAAAGGAAACATTTTTTCGAGCCATTGAGATGCTGTCATAAGTTTTATGAACGGTGTAAGATGAGGTGTAGGAGGAAGTGGGACGTGTTATGCTTAAGTACCACAAAGCACTTGCCCAACATACAACTGTCAAGACATATAAACACGAGACTTTTGAAGGCATTGTTCCTGAAGCTCTTCTAATCAACAGAATGAACCAATTGTCTTCTTGCCACTTGCTTCACTCGGTCTGAGAGAGGCAGCATGTTATTTTTCAGATCTTAAAAGTTTGACACGATAATGGCATGGCACTTGCTTCTAGAAATCCATTGCCCAGTCTAATGATAGCTCCCATGTCTTGGGGTGAGGTGTTACTTCTGAAAAACATAAGTGAAAAAAGGCTTATTGAAGGTGCGGTTTTATTCTTTTTTTAAATCAAGTTTTTAAAATTTTATATTACATAAACATATCAATGTGTGAACAGTGTGACACCTGGGTGCCATACATTTCAGTACAAATAAAATAATATCATAAATCATATACCAAATTATAATCTTTCATTATTTCATATTGTTTAAACATACATAATACTACCGCTGTTCAATTTCTAAACCGCTCTCTTGTCATTGCACTTATCTTATCTTATAAAAATGTATATACTAATATTCCCCCTTTGTCTTGTCTTATTTCTCTCTGTATTCGAAATTTTATTCATGTGATCATTATATTAAAATATGTTCCCTTTGCATTACAATACCCCCAGAGGTGGTATTCAGCAGGTTCTGACCAGTTCTGGAGAACCGGTAGCGGAAATTTTGAGTAGTTCGGAGAACCGGCAAATCCTACCTCTGACTGGAGATTTTACAGTATCCTTTCCCCTGCCACGCCCACCAAGCCACGCCCACAGAACCGGGAGTAAAAAAATTCGAATCCCACCACTGAATACTATCCTTCATTATTTCATTGTTCGATATTTAAATATGCAATTTTCATACCAATCACAATATTATGGTACTGTTTTATTCTGATATTCGAATACCCTACCTGCAAAGCTGGTGTAAAATGCTAAATTATCACCATCCTGTTTTGCACAGAACATAGTTAATAAACAAAGTGATATGAATTTAAGAAATGCAGTTTGCTTAACAACTTTAAGAAATATAGTAGTGGTCTCCAATACTTGTCCAAATCATGGTAAACAGCTCCAAATCATTCCTCCTTCAGCAAACCATAAAATATCCATCCTCAAATTGATGGAGTTGGTTTGGTTGAGGGCAAAGCTCTAGCGTGAATTGAGTCACACGAACAACCATCTTATACAAGGAATGCGAGAGCATGAATTGTTGGACCTAATAGATATTTAAGAGCAGTCTTATATCCATTAATCTGACAGTAACTGTAGCTGAACTCCATGGTCTGGGAATAAGATTGCGCTGTTAATTATTTAAGGTACTTCTCTGTTGTAATTTCTCAGACAACTCTAAGCAGCTTAGAGGAAAACATATACAGTACTACATGCTATAAAAATCAAGAAAACAATTTAATACAAAGAATTTATATTTATATAAATATGAGTATATTTATAGATCCTTTTATTTGCATGTATTCTAAGTCTACAACAAAGTTACTCTGCAAAGAATAGTACATTAAGATCTGATGATTTTAAGTTTAAAAAGGTCTGGATAAATAATAATAAATCTACATATATAAAAGCAAAATATCACTCATGCATCATCACAAAATCTCCAGAATTGTAAAGCCTATAAACTAGAAATTTAGTATGTTCCTCTTGGCTTCTAGGTGCAAATACAGTTTCAGCAAATACAGTTTCAGTTTCCAAACAGCCTCCCACATTGACAGGATGCTAGCCAGATGAATACCGATGGATGATGGTAGGCAGAGGCAGATTTTTTCCCCCTTATTTTCCTCCCAAAAAACTAAGCCCGACCACATAGTTTCATAGCGAAGCATGGGTATCGAGCTAGTAAGCATATATTAACAAATTCTAATAATAATAAAAAAATACTTCTTTCTATTGCAATTTGAGAATATTCAACTGTGATAAATGTCAGAGATTGTAAAATGTATGAAATAAGAATAGAATATCTAATTCATTATGCTTATAGACCAAAAAGACTACGATTTCAAGACTGCATAGAGGTCTTAGCAGGACAGAGCTTTGCACACATATAACAAAATGTAGTAATGTTTAGGGTCACACAATTGCCTTTGTTATCTAAATGCCAGCATGTAAGATTATGAGGGCAGGTGGTGAGAGATGTGGTCTCTTTATCTGAAAGCTGGTTATAAATAGCTGCTCCCTTTCGGTTTAATTGCTGTGATTAAGTGTTTTTCCCCCCCTATTATTGTCTGCATTCTGTCAATTGCTTTCAAATGATGAAATTATTATTTTAGCCTGTATTGTTTTTGGCTTGGTGACACAATGTACAGTGTTGGTAAGATCAGTAAAGGCGTGATTCAATGTTTAGCAGCAATCCCTGTACAGGTAGTCCTTGTTTAGTGACTGCAATTGGGACCAACGCCTCAGTCATTAAATGGTTGCAGAAGTGAAAAATCATATTATCACAACTGTACCTAGGATTTTACTTTAGCTTTCCGTTGCTTTTACAGCTCAGAAGATGCAAACCTAAACAATTGGGTGAGTCCAAATAGCAGGGAAGGTTTGAGGATTTCAACTCATGAGGAATTCAAGTAAAAGGGAAACCTTACAGGCCTTTCCCAACTTTCCTCCCTTTGGAATGTTCATCCCGGTAGTGTATTTACATTCATTGGAGAGAAAGGGATTGCAGGAGAGTAAGCAGGCACTCCATGGAGAATAGACATCGAAGGAAATGCCCTAGACTAGGGGTGTCAAGCTCACGTCATCAAGGCAGCATCATGTGGCGTATCCGGACTTCCCCCCCTTCACTAAACTGGCCGAAAACTACACACACATCTGGCCTACTGGCCGCCATTTTGACAGCCCTGCCCTAGACTAACTGCCTAAACTGATCAAGGTGTTTTTCAATTTTAATCTATTTTAGCTAAGAGCTGGCAGCGCATTCTAATCATCTAATTAAAGTCCCAGAGCTGAGTTTTGTTAACTTGCGCTTAGCACTGTTTAGGGATGCACTACAGAGAAAAGCAGCTCAGGAGGAGTTAGCTTGTTTAAGCAATCTCTCTATTCTGCTGGAGAGGGGGAGAGAAAAAAAAGGGGTTAGGCACAGGGCAATACCTACTAACTGAATGCCATGGGGAACATATGCCCGAGAGATTGGCCAAGCATCGGACACAACTTAACGAATATCATCATCATCCTCATTGCTGCAAAGGTTGCAACCGGCCATCGGTCACAAAGTTACTTCTCCATTATTGTTGTAACCCTGAACAGCTGCAGTCTGAGGCAATTGTTAAGCAAGGACTATGTGTAATGAAGAAACTCATCTTATCCGCCATTCTTAGTTTACACGGGATGGTAAGATTTATCTTTCTTTCCTAAAAACTATCCCTAGCATGTCATAAAGTTGGTCTCTTCCAGATGTCTCTATAATCCCAAGACAGAGCAGGTCATGCCAGGGAACACCGTCAAACTGTACAGAGGTTGTACAGTTAAAAAGCTCATTTGCCTTCAGAGATTCATGTTGCAATCCAGCAGCATCTCAAAGGATCAATAATATTTGTAGGTTCTGTTTCATATGAAACAGCCACAGAAAACATTCAGGATTCACATTTCTAGTAAAACACAAATAACAATTGCCTCGGGAGGGCCCCAGACCAAAAAGCTGTTTTTTATAGTTGATGCTGCAAAGATGAAACAAGAGGTGCTTTTACTTCGAACAGCTGTGCGGTAATTGTTCAAACACTCTTTGTACAGAAACAGAAACAGACCTACTCATATGTCATGTATTAAAGTCCAGCTTCATTCTTTATGCACAAAGGTATTTATTGAAAAGAGGATCCCTTGGTAAGAAAACAAAACAAGGAAATGCTAAGTGTTGTAAGAAAAACTTTATAGCCATTAAGGTGATTTTTAGTTTTTTTTAAAAAAATGACTTTACGAATGCTGCTTTTCTAATTTATATTGGCAAAATCCAACGGAACCTAGCCATGGTGATCATTTAGTGAGATCAGAGGAATGATTATTAGCAATAGCACTTAGACTGATATACTGCTTCACAGTGCTTTCCAGCCCTCTCTAAGCGGTGTACAGAGCCAGCCTATGGCCCCCAACAATCTGGGTCCTCATTTTACCCACCTTGGAAGGATGGAAGGATGAGTCAACCTTGAGCCGGGTGAGATTTGAACTGCCAAATTGCAGTCAGCCAGTAGTCAGCAGAAGTAGCCCGCAGTACTGCACTCTAACCATTGCGCTACCGCGGCTCTTGTATTACTTCTTTTAAATCCCGAAAGTGCTTTTTCAGGAGGCAACTGGACATCCTTGTTTTTTTCTTTGAAGATATTTCACTTCTCATCCAAGAAGAAAAACCAAGGAAGTCCAGTTGTCTCTTGAAAAAGCATCTTTGGAACAACCATGACCTAGATCAGTGATCCCCAACCTTTTT